TTGAATCAGAATCTCGGGACTCGGGGCTGGTGAGCCCAGCAAAGTGAGTTTTGTTTTTTGGGGTTTTTTTTGTTTTTGTTTTTGTTTTTTTTTTTTAAGATTTTATTTATTTGACAGACAGAGATCACAAGCAGGCAGAGAGGCAGGCAGAGAAGAGGAGGAAGCAGGCTCCCTGCGGAGCAGAGAGCCTGATGCGGGACTCGATCCCAAAACCCTGGGATCGTGACCTGAGCTGAAGGCAGAGGCTTTAACCCACTGAGCCACCCAGGTGCCCCAGCAAAGTGAGTTTTAACAAAGGCTCCTGGTTATCTCCCTAGGCCCTCTCAAGTTCACAAAGTGCACTAATCTTTAGGGACACGTTCTGCCACTTTTCTTCACGGTTGGGAGGTGAAATCACAGGGAGAGAAGTGAAGGGAATGGCATGGCCCCTTCTTAGGCCTGGATCACTTTGGCAAAGTCCTGACCCTGGGGCTTGGACCCGGGAGCTCCAGCCTGGAGAGCCAATCATTGTGTGAAACAAATATGCTTTCTTCCGTTAGAGCCTGAGCCCCTGGAAGGCAGGGACCTGAGAGGTTCCTCTCTTGAGCCCCAGAATGTCATGGTCATGCTGGCCTCATAGCCACTCTGTGAACTGAAATACTTTTTCCAGCCTTATTGAGATACTGTTGACAAATAACATGAACGTTTAAGGTATACGATGTGATGTCTGAATAAATGTGTATTTTGTAAAATGATTACCGCCGTAAAGTTAGTTCACACCTCCCTCCTTTCATGTAATTGCCATTTTTTGGTGTGTGGTTCTAACATTTAAGATCTACTCTCTTAACAACTTACAATTACACAATGTGGTATTGTTTCCTACAGTCGCCGTGCTGTCCGTTAGCTCCCTGAACTGACTCTTCTTACAGCTAGAAGTTTGTACCCTTCGACTAGCATCTCCCCCTTCCCCCCAGCCCACAGCCCCGGCACCATTCTACACTCTTGAAATGTTCTTTTTTAAAAAGATTTATTTATTTATTTGAGAGGGAGAGAGAGAATCTCAAGCAGATGTCCCACTGAGAAGGGCGCTGGATGTGGGCTCGATCCTACAACCCTGAGATCATGACCTGAGCTGAAACCAAGAGTCAGACATTCAACCAAGTGAGCCACACAGGCGCCCCTCCCCCCTCGACATTTTCTTTTTTTTTTTTTTTTCCTAAGTAAATTCTATGCCCAGTGTGGGACTCAAACGCACGAGCCCGAGATCGAGAGTCACGTCCTCCACCGATTAAGACAACCAGGCACCCCCTGAAATGTTTTTAGTAAGATCTCCCTCCCGATGGTGCCAGGTACCATGGTCAAGTTTTTATATGTATTTCTCCTTTCATGCTCATAACAGCCTTGCCAGAGAAGGGTCCGCTTTGGACATGGTTGGGGGTGGGGGGTGGACAGCCTGGGCTCACAGAGGACCCGGGGCCTCCGGCAATCTGGAAGAACCGAGTGCTCATCTCTGGAGGGAGAGACGGGTCTGGGCTGGAGACAGAGTCACAGCATGAGGGGACAGCGGCAGGGATTGTCCTGAGGGCCGGCTGGGAGCCTGGCTGGGGCCAGATAACCTGGCTCTAGGCCCAGCTCAGCACCTCACGAGCTGTGTGATCTTGGGGAATTCACCATGTTTCTCTGAGCCTAGTCTCCTCCTCTGAAAATTGTGGCCCTTAACCCCCGTCCTGCATTGCTGTTGAGAGGACTGAAGGAGGTGCCATGGGCCAGCTGCTCAGTGCACAGTGGTGAGGACCCAGTGACACAGGCAAACGCTTCCGACGCTGACCACCCAGCAGATGCCCCACTGAGCAATGGACACGAGTTCCCACATCTGCTCCCCCCAACAGCCCTTGGGAAACGTTACCCTCAGGCTCATTTCACAGATGAGGAAACTGAGTCACGGAGCTCTCGGACAGCCCCTCCTCTGGGCTCTAGTAGTTAACCTCACTCACTGATCCCGGGGGGCATTTCCCCAGAGGCGGGCACGATGCTCGTGAAGAGCCTGAGCGGCCGGGTTCAAGTCCGGCCCCGCACAACCTTGCTGCACAACCCTTGAGCAGGTTACTGAACGGCTCCAAGCCTCAGCTTCCCCATCTATAAACCGATGATGTTAGGAGCCCCCAGCTAACGGAGCCATTGTGAGAATTCTCTGTGACACCCATGTTAATAGGTGTAAAGAGCCCAGACAGCGCTGGGCACAGAGGAAAGGCTCAGTCAGTGTTAGGTTGGTGGCTTTCTCACTGTTACTGCTAAACATGTATGCACAGCCCCGAAAGTCTTTCCGGTGGCTTCATGGAGCCCGAGAAATGTCACCTCCCGTCCCCAGGCTTCTGGTGAGAATGTATTGTTTGTGCTGCCACTTACTCTCTCTGTAGCCTCAGACAAGACACTTTCCTTGATACTCGGCTTTCCCATCTGCGAAATGGGCTGAAGGAGGTCTGCTTTCAAGGATGTAGTGGGAATTAAATGGGTTAATTAATACATGTCCAGGAAATAGCTCAGTGCCCACCATGTAGTAGGTGCTCAATAAACAATGGTTAGTGGGGCCCCTTTGCTCACATTGAGGTCTCTTGATTCTCTGGGAGGCAGTAAAGAAGACAGAGTCCCCCTGTTGGAGGAGGGAACTGCAGGGAGCGGGGCCTGATCTTCCCAAGAGGCAGGGCCAAGAGCCAAGCCAAGAACCAGACAGCGCTCCTTCGGGTGCAGAAGAAACAGTGGCTTGTCAGGGACACCAGGACCAAGGTCCAAGTCCTTCTTGCTGGTGCTGCCACCCTATCTCGGGTGTCTGGGTACTTGCGGTGATAGAGGGAAGCTGGACCTGCTCAGGCTCATGCTGGCCCCTGGGCTGACCCAGCTCCAGGCTGAAGGCTGTCTAGGAGGGACAAGCTGGGAGCACTGGAGCCGCAAGACCTCTGCCTATGGTGCAGAGGATGAAACCGGGTCCAGAGGTGGGAGACGGCTTGTCCAAAGTCACACAGTCAGTGAGCATCAGACCAGGAAGCAGAACCTGGGTCTTCTAAGCAACATAACATTCCCTCCACCCTGAGCTGAAGGGACAGAAACAGAGCAGGGAAGAGGTGAGTCATTGCCAGGCTTCAAGTCCCGATGGGCTTCTACCCACCCCTGCTCCACGCTCACATCCATACCTGGGAAGCCAGCTTTGGATGAGGAGGAAAAGTGTCCATCTCAACCTGCAGATACCCCTGTGTGGGCCGAGACAGGGCACCTGCTTGTCACAGACTTTCCCATGAGCCACGAGAGACTGCAGGAGGTGCTCCCTTCTCCCTGCTGAGTCCTCAGCAGCTCCTGAGATCATGAACACCTCGGGCCAGAGAGGCAAGGGGGCTCACTGCAGTCACACCATGGGGAGGGACCTCATCAGGAGTCTACCCCTGCCCCATCCAATGCAAGGGACAAGCCCTGCCCCCCTCAGACCTGGGTTCAAATCCCAGCTCCCCCACTGAGGATGTGGGGGCTGTGTGATCTCAGGAAGCCCCTTGCTCCTCTGAGCTTTAGTGTCTTAATATACTGCCCCCCTCCCCAACGGTCAGCTCAGGAAACAGGTGCGAAGGGCCCCGGGCTGTGGGTGACACGTAGTAGGTGCCTTGCACGGGTTCATTCCCCTTGAAAAGGAGGCCAGAAACACAGAATCAGGTGAAATACAAACTGAAGAATCCAGAAAAAGGCCATGTGTCATGAACACATCGTGCAAACTTGGGCAGCTCACATGCCCTCCCCGGACCTCAGCCTCCACATCAGTAAAATGAAGGGACAGGACTACATTATTTCTAAGAGTCCTCCTAGCATGAAACAGGCCGCCCCTGACTTCCTGTCCCCTTCCTTTAACCTCCATGATGGTACTAGCGGCATGAGGGGGAGGGAGGGAAGGAGGGAGGGAGGAGTTTTGCCAAGGTACAATTTACGTAGGATTAACCATTTTAATGTGTACGATTCAGTGGCATTTAGTGCATTCGCAGTGCTGGGCGACCATCTCCTCTATCTAGGCCCAGAACATTCTCCGTTCCTCCCTATCCTCAGCCCTGGCAACCGCCAACTGCTTGCTGTCTGTGGATTTAACCTATTCTGAGTATCTCATACGAATGGACTCATCAAACGTATGAGCTCCGTGTCTGTCTTCCACTCTGCGTGTTTTTGAAATTCATCTACAGTGGAGCGTATGTCAATACTTGGTTTACTTTTATGGCTAAATAAAAGTCTCTGGTATGTGTATACCATGATTTGTGTGCCCATTCACCCATGGATGAACGCCTCGGCTGTTCCCACCGTTTGGCTATTGCTAACAGTGCTGCTATCAACATTCATGTATGACTACTTGTTTGAGTACCTGTTTTCAGTTCTTGGGGATATAAAATTAGGAGTGCCAATGCTGGGTCATGTGGTAATTCTATGTTTAACTCTTGAAGGAGCTGCCAAACTGTTTTCCATAGGAGCTATGAGTTTATTTTTATAAATTTATTTTTGGCAGTCCTTTTTATTCAGTGCTAGATCCTGGCACGTAGTAGGTACTCGGTGCACGTTTGCAGAAGGAAGGAGGGAATCTCCCACCCTCTCTGCTCCCCTCTCCTGGAGCCCCATCATCGTATGTTGGGTCTGTGAGTTCCCTAGCCCAGCAGGCTGTAAGTTCCAAGAGAGGATGAACACCTTTCATGCAGCTGCTTTGGGTCAGGCCAGAGAAGGGCCCAGGGCACCTGTCTTTCACCTGGTGTGGCTTGAGCTCCCCTGGGACGGCCAGCATGGTCTGGGTCTGAAATCTGCAAGTGTTTCATGAAAGCAGCAGGCACGGTCCTCCCTAAGTCCCTCTGGCCCCCATCAGCCCCCCAGGCAGGCTGTGTGGTCTCAGCCAGATGCCATCCCCTCTCTGATCCTCCACTCTCTCTGCCTGGGCACCTCGAAAGTGGGACTGGAGGCTGCACCCTCTCCAGCGGCCCCTGACCCCTGACCTCTGACCTCTGTTCCAGCTCCATCAGCCGTGTCCATCATGCATCAGGTGAGCCGCACCGTGGACAGCATCACCCTGTCGTGGTCCCAGCCTGACCAGCCCAACGGTGTCATCCTGGACTACGAACTACAGTACTATGAGAAGGTACCCGTGTGCTCCGGGGTGCGCTCCCCACCCCCACCTCCCTGGGCCCTGGGGTTCTACCATCCCACGAGACTGGACGCAGAGAGAGCACTGGCCTCAGAGTCGGGCTGCCTGGCTCAATTCTGACTCTGGTCATCCTCAGCTGTGGGACCTCAGGCAGGTTCCTTGACCTCTCTGAGTCGTGCTTTTCTGGTCTGGGGCACCGGGCCAGCAATCCCAATGGAAGCCAGTGGTCACGGCCCTTTCCTCACCGAGACCCTCCTTCCTCTTGACTTCAGTGGGCCTGAGGTTCTGAAGAATTGATTTCCCGAAAAGCTTCACCCATTCTGAAGCCAAGATTTAAAACCGCTCAAGAGAGCTTCTGTCCAGGATGGGAGTAGAGCTCCGATTCCAGCTAAAACACTTGTTTTCATTTGTCTGGATGCCATTTGTATGGGGAGAGAGTGATTTCTCTTTGCGCTTTTAAATCAGACCCCCGTTACCCCCTCAGGGCTCTCTAGGACCTGGGGACCGGGGTTGGAAAGCGCTGGTGCTGTAGAGGAGCATTGGACGGGGAGTGAGAAGCCTTAGGTTTGGATCCCAGCTCCATCCAGAACCAGCCATGTGACCTTGGGCAGACATCTTACCTCTCTGAGCCTCAGTTTCCTCCCATGCCAAGTCTAAAGGAGATAGCCTGTCTTAACTGGGGGCTTCACAGGCTAAGAAGAAAAGACAGGTTCGGTGCCCACATGGCTCCTGGCCCTAGCAGAGGGCAGTTTCCCTTCCTCCCGTCTGCCCTGCCTGCTGCACGGCGGGCAAGAGCTACACCTGTGAGCTAGGTGAAGCCCGTACCTTTGAACACAGGGCCTGCTCAGGGTAGGGGCCCGGGGGATGGACAGAGCTGATCGACAGCAGAGGTCCAGGAAACTCTCCCTGTGACTGGAGACTTTTCCTACCTGCGTCCTGAAGCACCAAACAGCCACAGAGGCTGCAGGGGCCCCTGGGAAAGGTGTCATTGGGATCACATTCGGACTAAAGTGTGAATGACTACAGGAAGTGCTTTGGTTGTGGGTAAGGAGCTAGAAATGGGTAGAAAGTCTCTCCCCCAAGGCTGAGAGGAAGAGACAGAAGCAGTTCTGGCCGCCCTGGCGGGAACTCTACCTTCTGAAGACCAGCCCCACCCTCCCTCTCTTCACTGCCAGCTCAGCCCCACTCTGGTGAGTCCCACGGGGCTGCAAACCCCTAGCCAGCCTCCCCCAGCTGGTTTATGATTGCTTGTGTCCTTGCTTGTCCCTTGCTCTAGGCAGTGTGTTCAGAGAGGCCAGGGGCCACATCTGTCCCGTTCACTGTCTCCCTAGCTCCCTGCCCGGCTCCAAAGATATGCTTGATAATATTGGTTGAAGGAATAAGTGAATGGATCCCTTCCCAGGGCCTGTTCCTCCAAGGTGGAGAGTTTGCCTTAATCTCTGCTATTTCCCCAGCCTGGCACACAGTAGGTGCTCAAGCAGTGCTCTTGGATGGCCTGAGCCGAGGCTGATGCCAGGGAAGCTGCTCTACCCCTCACTGGGCCCTCGAGTGCCTTAAAGGAGCCAGGTGTCCTATAGCCTGAGCCGGACCAGCTGGTCCCAGCCCAGGAAGCCCCCGGCCCTGCAGGAAGCAGCATTTTCACCCCCTCCGGCAGGGACAGCTTAGCTACTAAGAATCCAAAAAAAGAAAAAAAAAACCTAATTAAGAAGCTTTATGATTAAACGAAACTAAAAGTGTTTGTCCCCAAAGACTAGAGAGGAAATGAGGAATCCCGGCGCGGGTCCTGCCTCCGACCCATTTCCTACCAAGATGGGAGGGGCCGGGGAGGCTACTGCAGGTGTGAACCAGGAGGCCACTCTGCCCTACTTTCTGCTGCGGACCGGCATCCCCAGGCATCTGATGTGGTGGCAGGACCGGCAGGCCCTGCCTGCAGAAGCTGCGGCCACCCCCAGCTCGCACAGCCTGAGCACACTCTGGCTCCGTCCTGTCGTTCCTCTCACAGCAGTGCCATTCATCCACTTGGATGGGAGGGGAAACTGAGGCACAGAGAATTTGTGCAACTTGTCCAAGAGCACCCAGCTGCTAAGTGGCGGAGCACGGATTTGGGCCTATGTCCTTGCTCTTTGCCTGGCTCTCCTGCCTTCTGGTTTTCTCTCGGGAATGCTTCTGGAATGACCATTGAAAGGTGGACAAGATCAGGATCTGAAGGAGTCTTAGGTACAAATGGTGAGAGAGGGACAGGCCCGAAGTATGGCTATGGTGAGACATGGCTCTATTCGGTCAGCCCCTCCTCCCAGGGCCTGGGGTGCAGTGAGGGGCAGCTTGGCCCTTGCCAGTGGGACATGGACACTGGTTCATTCAGTATTCACTGTCACCAACTTTGGGTGGAACCTGGGCTAGATACTGGAAACAGTGTGATTAGCCAGAGATCTCAGAGGCCTCAGGGCCTTCATAGTCCAGGGGAAGAGACAGATCCAGACATAAATAGCCATGTGACCAGTTGTGACACAGCTACAGAAGGGCCAGCAAAGGTCCTTAGGGGCACCAAGGCGGGGCCCATGATCTGGGTATAAGTGAGAGGATATCTTCATTTCAGTGACATTTGAGCTGAGCCTTGAAAGATGCTAGGAGTTCACCAGACAGACACGTGTTGAGAACAGTTATTCCAGACAGCAGGAACAGCACATGCAAAGGCCCTGGGGCAGGAGAAGGCAAGTGTGGAGGAGCAACATGAACAAGAACAAGATTAGTAGGGAAGGAGTTGGAGAAGGAGACAGGACTGGGTTGTGGTGGCCTTCCATGCCTTTGGAGTCTGGATTCAATTTAAAGTACTCCAGGAAGCCATTGGAAGGTTCTGGAATGATGTGATCTGACTTTGATTATGTTAAAGATCCCTGTAGCTTGCTGTGTGGAGAACAGACTGGAAGGGGTTCCTGGGGACACAAAACCTTTAGAGAGCTCTCACGGGACACCAAGTGAGAAACAATGGTGGCGTGGACTAGGGACTGGCAGCAGAGAGGTGAGAAACTGGCAGATTTGGACGGTATTCTGAAACTCAGGGGACCAGGGAAGTGTGAAGGACAACTCCCAGTGGATGGTGGGGCCTTTTCCTGGGGCCATTGTGGGTTTGTGACGTGGAGATGCACCTGTGGTGTTCACCAGGGGTGGAAAGGTAGAGCCAAGAACAGAGAGGAGGGTGTGCAGAGATAAAACAGAAATAGATGGACCAAATCAGGAGGATGGCAGGTCTAAGGAGAGAAAGAAAAAGGAGTGATGGCTGGTGTCGGAGGAGATGGCCTCGCAGGGAGAGGAACAGTCTCGACCCCCAGCTTCTCAGGCTTCCTTCCATCAGGGAGGGAGAGCTAGAATGTAGGATGGATTTCTGACAAGTCCACAGTCGGCTCTTCCCTAACATTTTGGAATCCTCTTGGTGCCTGCAATTGATTTCTTTAATGAAGGCCGCAGATCTTCCAAGGTAGGGAAGTTAAGCAGCCAGCCCTGCAGTCCCGTGCGGGCCCTGCCCCCACCCTCTTTCCCACTCCTTTCCTTCTTTAGAAAGGGCTCTTTTTGGAGCAGGCTCTCCGTTTGGCCTTACCCCAGCTCCACTGGGGATTTCCCAGCCTGCCCGGAGCTAAAAACCACTTTGCTGGAAGGCTTCTGGATGCGGCTGACGAATGGTGTTGGCCAGCCTGGTGCTGGCTGTTTCCATCAGCTCTGGCTTCCTGGGGGAGGTGGCCTCCTTGGGCAGCTGTCCCAGAGCACACAGGTTCATGCTCGCTTTGGCTCCCCCAGCACTCCAGGAGAAGATTCCTTTGTGGGGCCACCTATGGCACATGGGCCCCTGTAGACCTCCTCGATTCATGTGTATTCAAGAGAAATCTCTCCTTGGCAGAGCAGAAGGGAAGGAAGGTTGAGGGCAGTGGAGATGAGCTATGAAGGCCCAGGCTACCTTGTGGTCCGGGGTATGTGGAGCAGTGTGGACGGTTGTCCAGTGTGGACGTGGACAGACTTGTTCCCACACTCGCTCACTTTTGTATTCATTCATCCATTTCATGAACACTGGTGAAGGCTTATCCTGTCACTCTGCTGATAAGAACAAGGGCGAGAGCCAATATTTATTAAGCCTTATGTGTGCTGGAGACTATGCTAAAAGCTTTACCCATTTTTTTCCAATTGAATCTCCACACCCATTCTGTGTGGCATATGGTGGTGTTATCCCACTTTCAAGACGAGAAGACCGAGGCTCAGAGGGCTTAAGAAATGTACCCAGTGCCTCACCGGCCCATAGTCTCCGGGTAAGGATTCAAACTAAGGACTAGTGGATTTTTTTTTTTTTAAGATTTTATTTATCTATTTATTTAGAGAGTGTGAGTAAGTGGTGGGGGAGAGGAGGGGGGAGGGAAAGAGGGATTCTCCAGCAGACCCCGTGCTGAGTGTGGAGCCCGATGTGGGGCTCCATTCATGACCCTGAGATCGTGACCTGAGCCAAAATCAAGAGTTCTACACTTCACCGACCTAGCCACCCAGGTGCTCCAGGACTAGTGGATTTAATACTAAATTTCTTCCCCTAACTTGTTGATGCTTAGTCCTTATTCAGAAAAGGTGCTCCAGCCCCAGGGGGAGAAGAACTAAGGTCTTTCAGGCAGCTGCTTTGGGCCAGATACTACCTGATCACAACCCTGAGAGGTTGGCATTTATTGTTCCTTTTCTAGAGGGGAAAACAGAGGCCCAGGGGAGTGAAGGGTCTTTCCCAAAATCACAATGCAAGTAAGGGGAAGAATTGACATCTGAAAGGACTTCCAATCCCCTGCTCTGTGCTGTTTCCTGCTTTAGAGAAGCAGTCCATGAGGTTCGTTCATCATTCTTCTGAGGCACCTATGCCACTGGCATTACCTCCCATCTCCATCCTATAATCAGGAACTTAAAACTTCCTCCCTCTCTAAGTGGACCCCCACCCACGCAGTCTGCAGAATCCATCCCCTTTTCAAACCAGAGCGGATACCATGTTGGCTGGCGGCACCTAGTGGACAATCCTGGTACTGCAACCTGCATTCATAGATTTTTTTTTTTTTTTTTTTTTTTTTTTTAATAGTCTACAATGTTCATTCATTTGTTACCGACGGTAGTTAGTGAGCACTTACTGTGTGCTGAGCCTGCAGTCCCAGAGATATATGAGACAAGGTCTCTGCCTTCGGGAAACCCATAGTCCTTGGAGAAAACACATGCATATCAGAACAACAGGTGGGAAAGGAGACAATGGAATTGCAACTCTTTCTGGGACATCTGAGAAATTTCCCCAGCAAAGGTGGTCCTCGTACTAAGTCTTGATGAACAGGCAGATGGGGAAAGGGTATTTCCGATAGGGAAAACAGCACTTGCCAAGGCTCAGAGTGTCCAGGAAAGGTAGGGTTGCCAAATAAAATATAGGACACCAGTTACATTTAAATTTTTAAAAAATAATTTCTTAGTATAATTGTGTTTAAATATTGCATGGGAAAAACTTATACAAAAGAATTATTCATTGTTTATCTGAAATTCAGATTTAACTGAGCATCCTGCATTTTTATTTGCTAAATCTGGCAGCCCCACCAAGAAAGGGAGGGGAAGCCTTTGGATATGACTAGAGCCTGGAGGACACTGGGGATGTGGCAGGCAAGACTGGCAAAGGGCGAGTCGTGAAGGGTCTGGAATGCCAAACTGAGGAGTACAGCCTTTACCCTGTGGGCTTTGGGGCAGTTCTCTGTGTGTAAGCCTCTGTGCTTAATACAGGGGAATAAAACACAGCCACTCCCTTCAGGAGTTTATGGTCACGGTTGTGTGATCAGCCTGTGCCTAGGATGAGGGGACATAGCAGAAACCCCATCCTGGGGCATCCACGCAAGTGCTCCAGGGCTCAGAGGAGGAAAGGCACATCTGGCTGAGAGGTCAAGTAGGCTTCCTGGAGGAGGAGGCAGATGAGCTGGCTCAAGAAGAGAGATTTCCTACGTGCTGCTGCTCCCCGGGAGGTGTGAGGGGGTGGGGAGGAAGCACTCACAGGTGAGCCCCTTCTCTAGCCCCCATGTCCCAAGTTTTCTCACCTCCTTGCCTTCACACCTGGCACTCCTTGCCAAGCATGCCCTCCCCCTTTTTGACCTGGGTGACTACTGTTTGTTCTTCAGAATTCCATTGCACAACCCCACCCTGCAGAGAACGTTGCTTGACTTCACCCGATGGGCCCCCCCAGGCGAGGACATATGCCCCCGCGCACACTGTGCTTACCCTAACGGTATCAGTGCTTTATTCACAGTAATGCATTTCGTTGAGATGGCTGTGGCCATTCTTATCCCCATTTTACAGATGATGAAAAGGAGGCAAAGAGAGGTTAAGAAACTTACCAAGGTCACGAAGGTAATAAGTAGGAGAGTCAGGCCTTGAACCCAGGAAGTCTGGCTCCAACTTGTGATCTTAACCTCTAGGCTCTGGTGCTTGCCATGACATGACGCACCCTGAATTTAATTGTTTTGAGAGAGTTCTCAAGGGCTCTGTGCAGCGCACATGCACGTGACTGGAATGCACAATCAGGTGTGCATTTTTCTGCACAGAGGCTCATAGCTTTCATCAGCTTCTCAGAGGCGTTTGTGATCCTCCAAGGGCTGAAGGCTCCACGCTGTTTGTTTTTCTGAACCGAGCTTTCTGAATCCAGCACCCGTGCCTTGGTCCCTGGGAGTCCCCAGGGCCTCGTGCAAAGAGGTTGTCTGGGGAAGGTTTGGGGGTGGGTAGCGGACAGCTGTCTGCACGAGCGTCATACAGACTGGTAGGCACCTGCCTCCAATTCAAACAGCTCCATTCCCACGGCAGTGGCTCAACTTTGTCTTGTCCCGTACTCCTTGGGTCACCCTGGGTGGTCCGCAAGGCAGAACCGGAATTCTGCAGCCCTCAAAGGAGGGAACATCGGGTCTTGGGTATTCAAGCCTTGGACGTTAAAGGTAGCTCCCTGTAGGAGCCTGGTTTTGAATCCCAAAGCAGCCACCAGCTCATACATGACCTTGAGCTTCATTTCCCCCATCTGGGCCTTAATTCTTGCCACACTCAAGTGTGCTGTAGCTGAACAGGGGTCCTTCCACGTAAGCTATCAAGACATGGGGCAGGGAGGACGAAGAAGCAGGTAAGGTAGGCCCTCTTCCTGTTGTCTCCGGGAATTCACAGCCTAGACCTCAGGGTCTGCACGCAGTGGCCGCTGGGCGTGTGTGTACTAGTCAGCTATCAGCGAGGATGGTGCTGTGAGATAAATAGTCCCCAAAATACAACGGGTTCCAAGGACCTATTTTCTTGCTTATTGGTTGGAGTCTGTGGGTCAGCTGAAGTGGCCTAGGAGTTAGGTCAAGGTCTTTCCTACATGTTTCTCATTCTGGAACCAGCTGTTACCCCATGCTCAGCCCCATCATGGCTGAAGGCAGGAGCACAAGAGGCCAAGCCAACTCAACAAACACAAGTAAATCTTCCACTTGCATCATGTCCTCTAGAACGTTCCAAGAGCCAAAGCAAGACACATGGATAAATTCGGCATCCACAAAGTAGAGAAATATACTCTGCTTTCTCTTGTGGGAGGTCCTGGGAAGTCACATGCAAAAAGTATGGGTGTGGAATTCTGTGACAGGGAGGACGTGAAGAATCGGGAACCACAGATGTTTATCCAGTGGCCGAAGTTGCCCCAAGTGGCAGGAGTGGGCTCTGGGCCCACTGTGGGCAACAAGCTTGCTAACAGTCTTCTCTGTTCCTCGGCAGGAGCTCAGTGAGTACAACGCCACAGCCATAAAAAGCCCCACCAACACGGTCACTGTGCAGGGCCTCAAAGCCGGCGCCATCTATGTCTTCCAGGTGCGGGCACGCACCGTGGCGGGCTACGGGCGCTACAGCGGCAAGATGTACTTCCAGACCATGACAGAAGGTGAGCAACATCCAGAGGGCAAGAGGAGGCCACTGGCTCCACCAACAGAATAAACCAGAAGGCCCCCATTCTTTCCAAGTGCCTTTGGACAAATTAGAAAAGGTGTCCCCTCTTCTAGATGTCAGCCTTTCCCTGCTGGTCGGGAACAAGCCACCCAGAGAGGCCCCATGTCTGTGGCTGGAAAACACGTGGACTCCCCCATTGCTCTCCCGTCAGCCAGGCGGCTTCCTCTCACGGGACTGTCAGGAGCTCTGCCCTAACTTGCAGAGACACTCTGAGCAAGTTACTTCCCTTCCCTGGTCCAAATTTTTCTCATCTACAAAATGAAAGCGTCATATTCAGTCTTTGAGAGCACGCCGCGTTTATCCGTGCGCTGTTCCAATGACTTGTAGTTGGGTTGAGAGGAGTCCTGAAGTTCGGCAGGAAGAAGTGCTGGGATGGATTAGTGATGTCTGCCCTGGGCAAGAGAAGGGGAGGCGGCAGCCCATGTGCATGTGTCTCCCAGTCTGGGACCCCACAGTCTCTCAGTACACTTCCTGCTCTAATAATCTTTGAGGAACAGCAGAATTAAGAGAATGGACAGATGGACAGATAGAAATTATAGTGCTCATTCAGCCCTGTGTGGCCATGAGCAGCTCTGAGTCTCGGTTTTCTCATCTATACACGGGGATGGTGACAGCTATCTCATTATCATGATCATCATCGTCAAACTAATGTAAAGATGGGGGCTGAACCATTAGAACCTGGCCCAGAGTTGGCATGATGTCTCACACAGAGTTAAGGCCACAGTTGTCGTTCCCATGAGTCTGGTAGCCCTTTCACCAACCAGCCAAGCTCCAGAATAGCTTTACTTATGACCAGACTCCAGCGTCCCCTCTTAGCATCTGCTTTAACCACTGGTCATGGGCCTTGGCTTTTGCCTAGCTGAGCATCTCAGAGGTTTGGAGACGCATGAGTTCTTGCCTTACCACAAACATCCTCCCTAAGGCTAACGGTCTTAGCCAGGACACTAAAGCTACCTCCTCTGTAAAGCCCCACCCCCTTGTGACCAGCATCTTTACCTTTCTAGGCCCTCTTGCATGTTGGATGAGTGTCATCGACCTGGGGCATGGGGGACTGTCGCAAGACCCTTTATTAACTCAGCAATGCACGCTAGTGCTGAGGACCCGGAATTTACCTGGTCCCTGACTTCAACAAGCTCTTGTCTGGTCATGGAAGCAAATGAGAAGTAATAATAATTACATTAAAAACAATGATGGTCTTGATGGCATCAAAGATGTGCTAAGTGGTTTCCAAGAGCCTAGCCAAGGCTGGGGGCATTTTATGCATTATCTCTTTTAAACCCAGACACAAACCTGGGTTCACATGCTGGCTTTGGCCACTTCCTAACTGTGTGACCCCAAGCCAGTCATGGCGTTGCTAAGCCTCAGTGCCCTCATCTATATGTGGGGCAATCATAGGCACTGAATCATAGGAGGATTCTGAGAATCAAACAAGACACATAACATACTTAGCACAGTGACCCAAAAATAAAACACTCAATAACAGTAATAATCCATATTTACTGAGCAGTTACTATTCTACTACCTGTCCTTCTGAGTGCTCTACACAACAGCGCTCTGAGATGGGGACTATTGTCCCCACTCTACAGATGAGGAAACGAAGCCGCAGAGAGGTAAGTCACTTTACCAGAGGTCCCAAGCAGGAAGACACTGCCAGGACTCAAACCTAAGGAGTCTGGCCTCAGAGTCTGGGCTTCCGGCTGCCTCTCTGTATGTCAGCTTCTTATTATTATTGATTTTCATATCAACATTGAGGTATGATGCCCATTTTATAGATGAGAAACTAAGGGTTGGCTCAGTCCAAAGACTCGTCCAAGATTACGTGTGAGTGAGTACTGGTGCGTTCTCCATCTGGGCATGGGACAGATGCTGTCTCAGGAGCAGGAACAGAGTCTGGGGATCCCAGGAGACCTCGCGGGGTGGGGGGCATTAGGACTCCCAGAGCCAGGCAGACAACGCTCCACGTGCTTTCTCCCCCAGCCGAGTACCAGACCAGCATCCAGGAGAAGCTGCCGCTCATCATCGGCTCTTCAGCTGCTGGCCTGGTCTTCCTCATCGCTGTGGTCGTCATTGCCATCGTGTGCAACAGGTGGGTGGGTGCCCCCAGCCCTATCCAGGCCCAGCTGTCCATCCAGTCAACCAATCCTGAACAGTGTCTGTGAGCCAAAGGGTTATTCCCATCATTCCCAGGGCCAGGGAGAGGCCCAGGCAGGCCTCCTACCTAAATGGCCACCATTCGCTACAGTCCATCTCTTCGGGCTAGAGTTGCCTCGACAAGTCCATTATTCATGGAGGTGGCACATAGAGACACTAACTCTTCAGTGTGAAGGAATGTTCTTCTTCCTTAGATCCCCGCTGTAGAACAGACAGGGCCATAAGTTCAGATGGACAGAAGCCCCTGGGATTTCCGGGGCCATGGGAGATGACTTTGAAAGGGGCTTGGCCGGAGAGGGGATGCGGAAATAATGAGCCTGGACTTGAGGTGGGAGAGGTGGGAAGGGATGTGGGGGAGAGTCCAGGAAGGGTGAGGCTGCTAGGCCAGGGACTGACAGGGAGCCCTCTGGCAGGGGTGTGGTTTTGAGGGCCTGCCCTCCCTCTCCCTATCACCTACTGTGGCTCCCAGCTCCCCGGGGGCTTGCAGGTGGCTCCAGCCCTTTGCTCTTGTTCCAGAAGACGGGGGTTTGAGCGTGCTGACTCGGAGTACACGGACAAGCTGCAGCACTACACCAGTGGCCACAGTACGTACGCCCCAGTGGGGCCAGCACCCTTGGACCCTTTGCTAGTCGGTTCCCCAGCAACCTCTCCAGCCTCCTGCCACTGCCTCCCACCTTGCTGCAGCCAGACTAAATGTTGAGCTATTCCCGGAACGGGACAAGCTCACTCTCCCCTCTTGGCCTCTGCACCTGCCATCCCCTCTGCCCGGAGCATCGCCCGCCTTCTCTTTACCGGCGTGACTCTCTGTCTCCCTCAGCCTCAGCCGCCGCATATACAAACCACTCTGAGCAGCCTCCCCTGACCCCCACCCCACCCTGACTTCAGGGCCCGGTCTGTGGTTGCACAGCGCCCCCTTACCCGGCTGCATCATGATGGCTATGTCCTTGTCTCCCCAACATTTTGGTGGGAGCTCCCAAGACACTGACACTCACCAGTGCCCCTGAACGCCAGCGCGCTGCCCGGCACTTAGCACACAGTAGGTCCCTGTTTATACAATAAATCCACGAGTTGCATGAGATGCTGAGGACCCCAGGCTCTGGCCCGAGGGGTGGCGGGCCCTGTCACTCTTTCCTAGTGATCCCTCTGATAACCACTGCCCCCTATCCAAGGCCTCCCCAGTGTCCCATCCCATCTCAGGCCAGGGCTGGGGGCACACAGGTGCCACACACCCAGAGCAGACGGCCCCTCTCAAGGGGCCCAGCAGAGACAGAAGCAGAACCAATATAGGGCAGGACGGGGTGGGCGGGGCAGCGGGGAGAAGCTTCATGCTCACTTCCACTCACACAGAGGCAGGAATTCCACATGGGTCCCATATAGCTTCTCAAACTGTACTCAGTGGGGTACAGCTTCTGAGATGCCACTGGGTAAGACAGGCCATCAGCGTAACCCTTCACATGTCACACAGTCTTTGTGACCTACTGTGTATGCCAGGCTCTGTTTTAGGTAGCTGGGGATACACAAGTTAGCAAACCACATATCCCCAGCCTTGCAGAACTTAGATTCTGATGGGAGGGACGGGGACCAAAAGAAAGACATGTAGTCACTGAGAAAAGCACATGGCCTGCTAGAAGATAAAAGCACTATGGCAAAAGGCAAAGTAGAACAGGGTGACAGGTTGAGAATTACAAGTTCAGGTCAATAGAATTGCTTATTCAGATAGGACTATTGGGGTTGGCCTCACTGAGAGGGTTTCAGTTGAGCAGAGACATGAACGAGCTGCATGGACAGACCTGAGGGAAGAGCTTCCCAGTCAGAAGGAAGAGCCAGTGCAAAGGCCCTGAGGCTGAAGTGTGCCTGGCAGGTTTTAGGAACAGCCAGGAGGCTCGTGTGACTGGAGCAGAATGAGAAGGCAGGAGGGACCCCAGCATGCAGATCCTTGTCAGCCATTGCAGGGCCTCTAGAAGGGTCTGAACCAAAGACTGACATGGTCTGAGTTATAGTTTTGACAGGACTTCTCTGGCTGCTGAGGGGCAAGTGGAGTGACAGGGCTGCAGGGTACCCGGTAGGACAGAAGCAGGGAGACCTGTGAGGTGGCTGTTGGCATCACCCAGGGAAGATTCTCGATTCTGGCATGTTCTGAAAATACTAGATTTGCTGCAGGATTGGATGTGGGGTGTGCAGGAGAGAGCAGAGTCAAGGAGTTCTAAATATCAAGCCTCTGGGTTAACAGCCAATTGGAATTAAAAGTTCCTGAGCTTAAAAAATCATTTTAGACATAAATGTAAAAACTCATTAAACCATTAAAAATTTCCAGAAGACAATTTAGGTAACTATGTCACTGATATTCTAAGCCTAAAAGCAGTGGAAAGCTCACAAGAAAAAGGAGGAACAATTTAACTACACTGAAATTTAAAAAATTACCTGTACTCTATTTTTTTTTTTTTAAGATTTTATTTATTTATTTGACAGACAGAGATCACAAGTAGGCAGAGAAGCAGACAGATAGAGAGAGGTGGAAGCAGGCTCCCTGCAGAGTACAGAGCCTGATGTGGGGCTCGATCCCAGGACACTAGGACCATGACCTGAGCTGAAGGCAGAGGCTTTAACCCACTGAGCCACCCAGGTGCCCCAAAAAATTACCTGTACTCTAAACGTAAAAGTCATAAATTACATCACCCCCTTCTATTCCCCAAGTAATGAAATCATGGTTATAGATAGAGGCTGACTGTACCGAGTGTACTCTGTTGCCCAGACCTGTTTAAATGCTTTACGTGTATTTGTTCATTTAATCCTTAAAATTATCCTTGTAATATGATTGAGTACGAGGGAACCAAGACCCATAGAGGTCACACAGCAGCTCAGGGCCAGAGCCAAGGTCCACACTCCTTGCCACGCCATGTTGCCCACACCTGGCTAAGCTGGAATAAGGGGGGCTCACATGCTCTGTCATCTGGAGCCATGTGGGAACATCACTGTTGAGTGTGTGAGTCACCAACAAGGAAACAGGGGACAGCAGGGATTTATTTTTAAAATAGAGCCCAGGATTTGTTCATGGATGAACACATTCTAAGGCTCAGCTCCTACGCCCTCCATCTAAAGAAGGGCTTCGGTTTTCTCAAAGCACGGCCAGCCCTGTAGCCCAACACCCACTAGAAACCCTGTGTGGCCAGGACCCAGGAAGAAGCTGAGGCCCAGAGATGCGTGGGACTGACTTAAGTCACCCTCACTGGCTCACATGTGCCGTCGTTCAGCAGGTGCTGAATGAGGACCAAGATCTGTGATTACTGGATGGGGTCCAGAGGGCCAACCTGGTTTCTCATCCCTGCTCCACCAATGGCCCGCTCTGTGACCTTGCAGAAGTCATCGAGCCTCTCTGAACCTTGGTGTCTTTACGTGGGAAGTAGCCAGAATGATGCTTCTTTCACAGAATTGTGAGGATTAAATGAATTAATGGATATGAAAGTGCTTCCTAAAAATATTTAATAATAGCCAACGCTTCTCTATAGCTGGTAACAATTATTCAGTGTTTTCTATCCCCAGACTACTATACTAAGCCCTTTAAAAAGATTTTCATTTAATCCTTGCAGTCCCCTTATGAGGTAGTGAAGCACAGAGAGGTTCAGTAATTTCCCCAAGGGCCCACAGCTGTATCAATAGTGCGGTTGATCCTCAGTTCAAGTTCATAACATCATTAAACTGATCTTCAGTTCAAACGCATAAAGCAGCTTATTTGTGATTATTATTACCAGCAGACCCAGAACTCAAACCAGATCTCTGAATATCTGGTTCCTCCTCCCTCCTTCATCCTGAATTTCCCCTCTGGGTTCAGGACAGCACGTAGTGGCCCTGACAGTCGTAAGTCATCCAAACAACAGCCCAGTATTTTCTGGAGACTCGGACTACAGAGATCCTCGGCCAGCTTCAGTGCAGCAAATATCCTGTCCTGGGAGCTGGGCCTTGAGCTTCCCTTCCATTCCATGTCCACGACATGTCCTGTGTCCCCTTCCATTCCAGGACACAGGATGGGAAGGCATCCAGAAGAAAACCATAGCCTGGCGGCTGAAAGTGTAGACTCACAGCCACATGACCTGAATTCAGACCCCACGTCTGCCACTTATCAACTCTGTCCTTGTCATCTTGGGCAGGTCGTCCAACCTTTCTTATCCCACAGTGTGCTCATCCAAACAATGGGGATAATATTAGGTTGGGCCAAATGAAATTGCCTGCTTTGTAGGTCAGCAGCAGTCAAATACTAATAATTTCATAAAGCTCAGCCTAATAATAGCATTTCCCAGGTAGGGTTGTCGGGAGGGTTAATTGGACAGGTATCTATAAAGTACCCAGACCAGGGCCTGGGGCCTGGCAAACCCACAAGGAATTGTGAGCAGATTGTGATATGAACGGTGAGATGAAACCAGAGGGTCACAGAAGCAGGGACAGCTCAGAGCCATACATCCAATCAGTGTTTATTAAGCATCTACTAAATAAGCACCTTCACACACATACTCCAGAGAAAACATTCTAGAGCAAGGGCTCATAACTTGGGGTTCACAGACCCCCAAGAGCTTCAAGGGCCCATGAACATTCCAAAATTATATGCTGAGTCTAGGAGTGTGACACACAGGTGAATAATTTTCAAGGAGCAGATTCATAGCTTCTGTCAAATTCTCAAAGCCATCCATGACCCCAAAGGGGAGGAAAGAGAAAAAGAGGACAGTCCGGTAGGCAATGCTATTACTCTTTCAATAAGCATTTCATGAGCACCCTCTATGTGCCAGGTTCTAGGATTTAGCATGAACTAGACAGACGTGGCCTCTGTCCCCCTGAGGGAGAGAGTGGAAAGCAAGTCCGCACAGGCAGCAGAGTGGTCCAGAAAGGGGAGCCAGGAGGCTGTGGGCATGCGTATGGAAGACTTAGTACAAGGTAGGAGAGCCATACAGACGTCAGAGCCTTACAAGTGGCTGCAGAGACAGGGCTTCAGAGCCTAAAGAGAGAGCATGGATCTCCACTGTAAGGATCCAGGCAAGTTTCACAGAGGAGGTGACATTTGATCTGGACACAAAGAGGAAGAGAAGGGTATTGCAGGTGGAGGTAACCCCATGAACAAAGCACAAAGGCCAGAAATTATAAGGTGTGTCTGACAAATAATTCTTTTTGGTGGCATATAGAGGGGCAGGGACCTATAGCTGGGGCCCAGCACGGAGGGCTTGGAATGCCAGGTGAAGGCACTTGCCTTACTCTTGCAAGCAATGGAGAGCCCTCCTGGCCAAGGGTCGGGGATGGCATCTGAGCAGTTGGCAGTGCCCAAGTCAGCTTTGAGCTCCTGCTGCGCTTCTCCTCAGCTCCTGGGGCTCCTGGGGCTGACCCATTCCTGTCCTCCCTCTGCAGCTGGCCTGACAGAAAGGGCTTCCCCCAGTCCTATTGGAGGGAGGCTGAAAGTCAGTCACCGAAACCCACAGAGCCCTGAGTTTGAGCCAGAAAAGGAGCTTCTCCCAGGAACTGATGTCCCTGTTCTGGGGAGTGCTGATTGGGAGTCGTGGCTGAACAGTCCAGGAGGAAGAGGCCTGGGCCAGATCTAGTTGGACTGCACACAGGAGGCCATGAGTCTGATGATTAACACTATGGCCCTTGGCTCAAGTCTGACAGACCTGGGTTCAAGTCCTGGCTGTGCCATTTGCTAGCTGTGTGGCCTTGGGCAGATCACTTAGACTTTCTGAGCGGCCGTTCCCCCATGCATGAAATGGGAATAAGGATTCCCTTCCCCCAAGAGTTGTTGGGTGCGGATGAGATAATGCATACCGAGAGCCTGACCCAGTGTTGGGCACAAGGGCTCGACCAGTGGTAGCTGCAATCATTCTTTTATCTCAATCACCTGGATTCTGCTCAGCTCTGTAGACACTGAGTGTCTATTGCATGAAGAGCTTTGTTCGAGCCCCACGTTGGGGGTGGAGATTACTTAAAAATAAAACCTTGTAGGGGCACCTGGGTGGCTCAGTGGGTTAAAGCCTCTGCCTTCGGCTCGGGTCATGATCCCGGGGTCCTGGGATTGAGCCCCGCATCGGGCTCTCTGCTCAGCGGGAAGTCTGATTCCTCTTCTCTCTCTGCCTGCCGCTCTGCCTACTTGTGATCTCCGTCTGCCAAATGAATAAATAAAAATCTTTAAAAAAAGAAAAGAAAAGAAGAGAAAGAAAACCTTTTAAATAAATAAGTGATGGGCTAGACAAACACCCACATAAATAATCCAAAATAAAGCTAATGTATCAGAACGGCAGTTGGCAGACTTTTCTGTAAAGGACCAGAGAGTAAATATTTTAAATTTTGATAGCCATATGGTCCTATTGTATCTATTCAATTCAGTCGCCGGAGTGTGAAAGCAGCCACAGGCAAAGGAATGCTGGCAGCTGTGTTCCAATAAAACTTTATTTAGCAAATGGTCAGTGGGCCGGTTTGCCAACACATGTGTTAAAGGTTCCAACCTTAGATTCTTGGAATGTCTGAAACAGACACTGAGAGTGGTCACCTAACATGTCCAAGGTCACACAGCTGAGCAGGGTTGGTGGCCCCACTCACCAACCAGTTAAGCCTTACTCCAGTCAAGCCCAGGAACTCCAGCTTCCTACTCCTAGAGCTACCGCCTCCAAAGTCATGGCTCCTGGAGCAATAAGAGAATGTGGGCAGGGAGCTGGGGAAGCCAGAGGGAGGCCTGGACAGCAGAAGACCAGTTACCTCAGAGGGAGAAGGTGGGATGGATCATCCTTCCCTTCCTTCCAAGTGTTTTGCTGGCTCAGTGCTAGGGTCAGAATTAGGTGTTTGGCGTCCAAGTCTTAGGTGTTTGGCACCCTTAATTTCTGCACCAAATAAAAAAGTACATCAAATCAAGAGTCAAATTAATTTACCGCATATCCTGCCTTATATTGATCACCAGGGAATTTGAGATCTAGAAGGATTTAAGACCTAGCTAGTGAGGGACTTGGGAAGTGGCGCCAGAAACCATGGGTCCTCAGACCCTGGTGAGTGGGCAGCCCATCCAGGCTCTGGGGCCTGCCTGGGAGAGCTGAGATAGCCAGGAATTTTCCTAAAGGAGAGGATGCTTTAATTAGGCCTAAAAAGACAGAGAGGTCTCTGTAGCAGACACCCAAGAACATGGGCTATTGCCTGCTCTTTCTGTATTTCTGTTCCAAATCTCTCTCTCTTCCTTCTTGACTTCCTCTTTCTTTGCTTTGCACCCCTAATTCTCTAACACAAGAGTGACAAACCTATCTATCCTTTTATGCCCACACCCGTAACAGACATTGCTAATCAATCCTGACAGTCCTTTAGCTCCTTCGGGAAGACATTACTAATCATTTAGAGTTGGAACAAGAGCTGGAACCTATTTGTTCTCCTGCTAAGCTCTCTGTTCTCACCCTTCTACTCAGCTCAATGCCCATCTGCTCACTGAAGCCCAGAGAGGCCAAGTGACCTGCAAAGGGTTGCCCAGTTCTTATGGGGCTGCACGGGTGTGTATTTCCCTCCACAGAGAGACTAGTGCTAGCCTTTCCATCTGTCCACATCTTGAGTCTGTGCATGTGACCAAGCCTGGTCTTATCCCCCAGTGACCCCAGGCATGAAGATCTACATCGACCCTTTCACCTATGAGGACCCCAATGAGGCAGTGCGGGAGTTTGCCAAGGAAATTGACATCTCCTGTGTCAAAATTGAGCAGGTGATTGGAGCAGGTAGGTGTCTGGGGCTCTCCCAGGTACCATGGCCTCAGCCATGAGTGGGGAGTACTCTTGGGGCAGAGGGTAGGATGTGGGGCAGGAACTTCAGAGGATCCTCTAAGACATGGAGGTTCACATTACCAAAGGTAGAAAAGTCCTCAAAGGTCATCCAGTAAAATCACCTCATCAACATATGAGGAAACTGAGGCATGGGGCTGGGAAGGAGCTTACATATCATGTCAGAGATTGACCTAGGTCTAGAACCCCATTCTCTGGACTCAGTCTAGTCCTTTGTCCTTCCCACCATTCATCCAGGTCCCTTTCTCCATCTTCCCAGGTTCCCCTACAGCCTTGCCCCATGCCCAGCTAAATACCATGGGACAGCTGTGAAGAGCTTACTCTACTCCCAGTGGTGGCTAGGAGCTTTCTGGGCCCCCAATTCTACAAAGGGGTTCTTTGTCTAAGAGGATAAGTTGACCCCTGGGGAGAAGAAGCTCCTTCAGGACCCAGGAGTGGAGGTTACAAGGAGTGGGAGGTGGCACTTCACCTGGCAAGTGACATCCCGCCTCTCTTGGTGTATGTGTCCCAGGGGAGTTTGGCGAGGTATGCAGTGGCCACCTAAAACTACCGGGCAAGAGAGAGATCTTTGTAGCCATCAAGACACTCAAGTCAGGCTATACTGAGAAGCAGCGCCGGGACTTCCTGAGCGAGGCCTCCATCATGGGCCAGTTCGACCACCCCAACGTCATCCACCTGGAGGGTGTTGTCACCAAGAGCACACCTGTGATGATCATCACTGAGTTCATGGAGAACGGCTCCCTGGACTCCTTCCTCCGGGTAGGGGAAACCAAGAGTGCCAGGGGCCCGCAGATGGGGAGGAAAAGGAGCGGTGGACATAGCTTCGTGGCGTCAAAGCCTGGTGGGGTCTTGGGAAAGATCCAAGTCAGGAATGGCTTCATGCTGCCTCTTTCCATTCCCTTACCCATGGCAGGCATTGCTAATCAATCCCAGAACTCTATCCCACTAAACCAGGAAGCCATCTCAGAATCCTTTTCATTCTAGGAAACTATAACCAGTCAGTTAGAGTTGGCACACAACTGAAATCTCTTGCTGTCTGTGCTCTTAGCCAGCTTCTCATTATGCACAAGAGAAAGGGAGACTCAAAGACAGGTAGAGTTTGTCCGGGCTTACCTAGAGGGTCAAGGTGAGAGCCAAGACTGAAACCAGGTCTCTTGAACCCTGATCCAGGGTTTTCACCAGATTTTGGATTTCTCCAAAGCTATATGTGCTGGGGGATGGAGTCTGGAGCTTAAGGTCAAGAAAGGAAAGTTTCCAGACCCCTCTCTCTCCCCTCCCCGCGCCGGGAGATCACAGTCAATCAGTTGGACGAAGAGCACAGAAGCATGTTACTAAACTAGCTGCCATTTAGCAAACATTTACTGAGCATCTAGTATGTGCCAGGCACCTTCCATGCACCTTCTCATTTAACTCAGCCCTGGGAGGTGGGTGTAACTTATCCCCATTTAACAGCCAGATGGGAAAACAGACTCAAGAAGTCAGGTCACTTGTCCAAGGTTGCACAGTCAGCAAAGGGCAGACCCAGAGTCAGATCAGCTGGGTCAAATGAAACCTGTGTTCTTTTCTCCACCCTGAAACTGGCCTCTCATGGGCCTCTCTAAGCATCTGAATCCTTTCCACAGGGAGCATGAAGCCCGGGCGGCGCGTCCTGCTCTGGTTTCCCGTTGTGTGGATGATCCAGAGCTCTGAGTCATGCCCTTCCACTCACTGTGTGTTTCCTCCACTTCTCCCAAAGCAAAACGATGGGCAGTTCACAGTCATCCAGCTGGTGGGCATGCTGCGGGGGATCGCGGCCGGCATGAAGTACCTGGCAGACATGAACTACGTCCACCGCGACCTGGCCGCCCGTAACATCCTGGTCAACAGCAACCTGGTCTGCAAGGTGTCTGACTTCGGGCTCTCACGCTTTCTGGAGGATGACACCTCAGACCCCACGTACACCAGTGCGCTGGTAAGATGGAAACAGAGAGCCTTTTCCGGGGGGGCGTGGTACCGGGCAAGAGGGCTTAGGTGTCCCTCTCTCCCTACGATATGTTTTTACCGACTCCTGCTCGTGCCAAGCACCATGCTGGGCCCTGGAAACAGAGACACAAACCACCGTCTCTGCCTCCTTGACACTCACAGGCTGTGCGGGGACACAGATGTGCAGAGAAACATGGAATAAAAAGAGCTATGAGTCAGGGCACCTGTCTGGGGAGGCTGAGGAAGGCTTGCTGAGAGGCAGTGATATCTGAGCTGGAAGCTGAAGGGCCAGTGAAAGGTGGTCAGATGCCACGTTCTCAAGGCAAGATGAGACTAGAACACAGACTGTAAGCGGGAAGGTGGTGGGCAGTAACGCGGGAGAAGCAGGCAGGGCTGACCCTGGAGAACCTCGATGCCAAGTTCAGGACTCTCTCCTGCTGAAGAGTTCAAAACAGAAGGGCATAAGGCCCGGCCCCTGCCCAAAGAGCTCAGATGGAGGACAAGAAGAGCCAAGCACGCAGGCAAATGATTTGAGTACTGCTCTGTAGGAGAAGTGCCTCCTGGAGGGAGAGACACAGGCCACAGGATTAAAAAGAGTGGGCAACTCTTGGGGATGTAGGGAAAGATTTTCAGAAACGCTTAAAGGATGAGAAGAGGTTTCCAGATGGCAGAATGAGAAGAGGCATTCCACGCGGGGGGTCGGGAGAACAGCCTGTACAAATTCCCAAGGCCCGAAGTAGCACGGTGAGTTCAAGAAAGAATGAGGTGCTTCATGGGATTGGTACAGCACAGGGCTGAGGGCGAGGAGTAGTACTGAGAACAGAGGCCAGACGGATCAGCCTCCCACCCATTAACCCTCCTCATTCTGTTCCCCAGGGTGGGAAAATCCCCATCCGCTGGACGGCCCCAGAAGCCATCCAGTACCGGAAGTTCACCTCAGCCAGTGACGTGTGGAGCTATGGTATCGTCATGTGGGAGGTGATGTCCTACGGGGAGCGACCCTACTGGGACATGACCAACCAGGACGTAAGTTTCCAAGGGGGCCGGGCCCAGCCCAATGTTGGGTGATTCTAATGTCTGCACAGGATCCCGGACTCTCTGGGGGTCGAGTAGGAAAGACCTACTCATCCACAATTCAGCAAATCTTCAAGATGCTTTCACCTTGTGGCCAGCCCCGAATGAGAACATAGCTGTCCCTGAGGTATTTTCCATGTAACTGCGGGACAAGGCAATTATTCCAGGAACCAGTTGTTGTTATCAGGAACTTTGCGAGCAGGTGCTAAATTGGAGAAGGCGGGTGTCGAGTCCTGTAGGGGTTGAGGCAAGGGCCACGTGAGCAAGATCAGTCAGAAAGCCTTCCCAGAACAGGGGGAGCACACACTGTAGTAGGACTTGGAGACATGAGGATGTCGAAGGGGAAGAATAGGCTGTGCAAAGGCCCAGAGGTGGGATGCTGAGGGAGAGGGCCGGGGAACGGTAGGGAGGAAAGATGGTCAGAAAGGATGATAAGGTTCCATAATGGAGTGTTTGAAAGCCAACCCAACACATTTGGATTTGCAACAACACAGAAAAGAAAGGACTTAAAGAAGCTTCTCGAGCAGGGAGGGTGACCCACAGTCCAGCTGGGGAAGGTGAGTCTGGGCCTGTGGCAGGACAGATTGGAGAGAGGCGTTTTGAGCTTCTTTTCCTGACAGAGGAGTGGGCGGAGCCGTGTACAGCCACACCGTGGGGTCCGACCCGGGAGACATGCCTCACCTGGAGTGGTAATTGGCACCGAAAACAAGAGTTGTTGTCACCCTGGGGTGAAGGGCCAGAGAGAGGAGTCCTAGGAAAGGAAAAAGTGGTCCACAAGAGGGTCAGCCTGGTAGACATTGAGGCAAAAGGTATCTCGGGGTGCCGGCTTTCCCAAGATTGGGAGAGGGGGCAGTCACGCAGCCCCCCACAGATCAGACTGAGGCCACAGATGGTGGGAACCCAGGGGAGGGGCATCCCTGGGGCTGTGTCCAGGAGGCGGAGGCAGTTGTCATGGCAACCAAATAGGTCTGCCCTGCTGCAGAGGTCGAGGGGAAAAATAGGTCAGGTGCGAGGCAGACGCTCTTTATCCCACCCGCCCCACCCCACTCTGGCCCTGTGTCGTCCCCAGGTAATTAATGCCATCGAGCAGGACTACCGGCTGCCGCCCCCCATGGACTGCCCCAGCGCCCTGCACCAGCTCATGCTGGACTGCTGGCAGAAGGACCGCAACCACCGGCCTAAGTTTGGCCAGATCGTCAACACGCTGGACAAAATGATCCGAAACCCCAACAGCCTCAAAGCCATGGCACCCCTCTCCTCTGGGTACGGCTCTGGTCTGGCCTCACCCCTCCTCCCAGTGCGTCTCTGCCCCCGTCCTCAGCCGGCCCTTCCTCTCCCTGAATCCCAACCCCTCCCCAGCCCTGCCCAGGCTCCCCCTGCTTCAGGCAGCTGGGGGTCAAGGAAGGCCAGCACAAGCTTCTTTGGGCATCGGCCCTGCCTGGTGGTGCAGAGGAGGCTGGGACACAGTGGAGGAGAAGGAAGTGGTAGAGACGGTGAAGGAAGCACTTTTTAAAGCATGGCCGTGGTCAGAGAGGACAGCATTTAAGAAAAAATTATCAGAATCTGGGTTGGTAAACAGGTTGACTGGTCACCGGGCTTCCTTCCTAGCTCCCTTCCTGCTCAAACATGGACCCTCTGACCTACCTCTGCGTCCTCCCCAGCACCGCCGTGCACACGCGCACACACACACAGAGACACGCTTACACAGTCCTACGCACCGTCAGGCACAAGAACTCATGCTTACGCTCCCCCACAAATGGTCTCACACACGGATACACACCCATTTGCAGGCCCTCACGCCTACCCTCCCTACATGTTCAGAAGTACAGACACACACAGACGCACGCTCACTCACTGTTCCTGACTCAGCTGGACGAGCGTTAGCTCCAGCGACCTGAGGCCTGCCTCCTCCCAGTGGTCCCCGGGCATATGCTCCCTCAGACCTGGGTCCAACACCGCCTTGCTTGGGTGGCTGCCCCAGACCCCTGTCCCCCCCAGCCCTGCACACTCTTTCTCTTTGGGACCCTATCAGAGTTTCTGCGGGGCGTCCAGCCAGGGGTCCTCAGGGTCTGGGGCTGGCTTTTTCCAAACACTCTTTGGGCCCAAGTCCTTCACCTGCCAAGTTTTTATGGCCCATAGTTAGCGTTTGTCTCTACCTGTCGCTTCCCACCAGGACCCCATCAGCCACTCCTGACTCTCCGGATAAAATCACTCTAAGCTTTGAGCCCTGTGAGGGTCATTTCCACCCCGGCTTTCTCCCATGAGCACTGCCAGCCTTGTCTAGACTTTGGAGGTGCAACCCACAGTTTCCCAGAGCATACCCAGGCTGGGGAAGGACGGGGGACGCAGCGACTCGTAGCACAGTTAGTGTGGCTGAACTCCCCGCTCCTGACCATCAGAGGCTTGGAGAAGCATCTCGCTCCTCACCACTGTGGGCCAGCCTCCCAGCAGCCTGTTCAGAGGCACCCCTGGACTTCCCAGGGGGCCTCATTGTTGAGTCCTGCACACACACACTCGCATAGTCACGTACAAACGTGTCTCCTTGACATAGGTGCAAATGCACACCCACTCTCATACAGAAATACATACACACTCACCTTCGTCCCCACAGTTGGATACACAGGTGCAGGTACAAAGCCCGCAGCGGCCCCCTGCCCTCACCCTTGCCCCCCTCCCAGCACCTGCCCTAACCATCCGTCACCCACCCCCGCCCCCAGAATCAACCTGCCGCTGCTGGACCGCACCATCCCTGACTACACCAGCTTTAACACGGTGGACGAGTGGCTGGAGGCCATCAAGATGGGACAATACAAGGAGAGCTTCGCCAACGCCGGCTTCACCTCCTTCGATGTCGTGTCACAGATGATGATGGAGTAAGTGCCCGGCTGTCTCGCCCACCATTACCAGTACTGCTCCCCAGCCATCCCACCAAGCCGGGGTCTCTGGAGGGCGAGGAGTCACGTTCAGATCAACCCCCAGGTCTGCCTGTGGCCAAGGGCAAATCAGAACCTCCCTGCACCCCAGCTGTTTTCTGTAAACCAGAGGTCGTTAGGAAGACCAAAGGGATATACAGTGTGTGTGTACTTCATAAATGCAAGTTCCTTTCCCCTTCCCTGGAGCAGAGGAGACCCCGTGCACCTGAGTGTCCTGACTCCCAGTCCCAGGCTCCTTCCATCCCCACTAGTCAGTCCAGCACTGGGAATCTACCCACTCACCCCTTCCCTTGCTCTCTTCAGCAGGAAACCCCTGGAGAAGCCCAGGCAGCTCTCCACCCGGCCCAAGGTCTCCCCCACCCCCACATTTCCCTAACACACATGCTTCTCTCCCAAAGGGACATTCTCCGGGTTGGGGTCACGTTGGCTGGCCACCAGAAAAAAATCCTGAACAGTATCCAGGTGATGCGGGCACAGATGAACCAAATCCAGTCTGTGGAGGTTTGACGCTCACCCGCCTCGGCTCACCTCTCCCTCCAGGCCCCCGCCCCCTCCGCCCCACACGCCGGCCCCCTGGTTCTCCGTCCACGTCCACCGCGGGCTCAGCCGCCTGCCAGGAGGCCACGGGCAGCAGGAAGAACCAAGCAGCACTCCAGCCACGAGACCTCACCAGGAATATGTGAAACTCAGATGATGGAAAAAAGGGAACGGGGACAAAAGAAAACAGATCCTGGGAGGGGGCGGGAAATACAAGAAATATTTTTTAAAGAGGATTCTCATAAGGAAAGCGATCATTGTTCTTAGGGAAAATTTTAAAAAAAAAAAAAAAAGGGCTTGGGAGATCCACGCGATTAGTCCCAACTGGAGACCAAAAGCAGTTTCTCTCCAATTGCCTTTGGGAAGGCGACCTGGCCAGAGCCAAGAAACACTTTCAGGAAAACCAATGTGAAGGGAGAGACAGGGGCCACCCTTCTCTCCCGACCCTGAGCTGCTCTTCCAGGCTTCACTCAACAGCCACAGGCCAGGCAGAGGTGGCCACCGCCACGGGAACCGTTCCCACTGCCGCTGGGCAAACAGAATTTTTCTGTCTTTGGAGAATATTTCAGAAACTCTGATGAAAAAGACTTGCTTCTCCTGTCGGCTCCTGGGGCTGAAAGGGGGCTTTTGTCCTCCTCAGTCGGGGAGACCATGGGGACACCGGAAAGGTCAGCCTTCCTGAGGATGACCGGCCCCCCCAGGACTGCCGCGCCACGTCTCTGTCGCGCCGCGCGGTGCCCGGCAGCCCCCGCCTGGAGGCCTGTTGCTGCGGTGACCGCCATCAGCTACGACTGCCACTGAGAAAGGATTGCTCCTGCATTTGGGTTTGTTTACAGCAATTCGTGGACTCGGGGGTATTTTGGTCAGGGGTGGATTTGGTTTGGGGGATTTGTTTGTTGGGTTTTTTTTTTTTTAATGACAATGAAGTGACACTTTGACATTTCCTACATTTTGAGGACTTGATCCTTCTCCAAGAAGAAGGTGCTTTCTGCTTACTGACTTAGGCAATACACCAAGGGCGAGATTTTATATGCACATTTCTGGATTTTTTATATGGTTTTCATTGACACTCTTCCCTCCTCCCCCTGCAGAGTGTTCCCCTCCCCTGCTGCCAGGCCTCACCAAAGCCAACTGCCACGGGGCCATCTGGGCCATGCAGAGACCGAGTGAGGATGAGGGGCTGGGGTAGAGGAGCCCCCCACCCAGGACTGCTTTGGAAAGCACCAGATTGAGAAGGAAGCAGGCCCTAGGACTGCAGAACCACACATCTTGTCCACTTCCCCACCCCCCCGCCCCAGTCTGCCCAGTGCTTCCCAGGCAAATAGGCCCCTTTGAGGTTCCCGAGAGCCCTCAGATGGCCAGAACCCGGTTCTGCCTCTGGTAGCCTGAGCCGGGCCTCAGATCATTCACTGTGATATCCCAGCTCTCCAGAGTGTCACCCTGAGAGGCGTATCCTTTCCTCCCCTCAGGGGAAAGTGTATGGTTTCTCTCCGACCCCCCTTGCCCAGGTCTGAAGGTCTTAGCTGGGCTGGCAGGAGAGAACCATCAGCCGTGGGGTCTGGCCGCAAAGTCCCTCCTGTGGGCAAACGCAGGCACCTGAGCGGAACAATCGGTTAGTGAATTGAATGGAAATAAACATTTTAGTTATAAAACGACCCCTGTTCTCTGTAAGTTCCAAGAGAGACTCTGGCACCTTGGGACATGTCAAGTGACCCACGATGCTCTTCTAAGGGACCCTTCCTTCCTCGGGCTTCTAGAAGGCCCAAGGCTGAGAAAACGGATGAAGGACACCAAAGGTCCATGTGGCCCCTCTGACTCTGGCTTGGCAAAGGCACAGGCAACAAAAGAAGCAGGTTGACAGTGGCTCAGAATTCAGCGTTGGATGCCCTGCAAATTAGGGTGAGCCTCTACAGGAGGCATCAGGGGCAGGGAGTAGACAGGGGTGCCCTCGGCCCTCCTGGGCCAGAGGAAGGGGCGGGGGGGTCAGGGTGTTACGTAAGCTGTGATTGTGGTAGTGTGAGGGTCCTGGAGTACCCATGGACCCCTCCAGCCAAAGCCGCAGGTAAGATCAGCTTATCCCGGTCAACGCTAATCTCTGCAAATGCGCTCCTACGCACACGTCATCCGGAATCTTTGTGTGGAAGGAGGAGGCCGGAAGGCGTATGTGCTGTGGATGTCAAGTCCAGGTGGGGAGGGAGAGGCAGAGGCTCCACATCTCAGACCTTCCCCCTTTGTCCGTGGGAGACTGACCCATGGGAAGGATCCTGGCCGCAGGTGGCCCCCGGGGGGGGCAGCCTGAACCAGCCTGTCGTCTGTCACTCACCTGTTCTCCAGAACCCAAGATGCAAGGGGAAGGAAGGGATTAAGAGGGGAGCAGGGGCCCCTGGGGGGCAACAGCAGAGTGAGCCACAGGGAAGGCATTGGCTGGCTGCCCACGGACTGGCCAGCCTTGGCCCAGCCAGCCACCCTTTGTGCCCCAAAGCTGCCCAGCACGGGTGGCAGCTGTCCTAGCACACAAGGTCACCTTCTGGAGGAGCTGCCCTGATGCTCTTTAGATTAACTCCATCTCCCCAGCCCGCCCCCCACCACTCTGGGACCCCACAGGGGGCTGGCACTCGGTGCTTGCTGTCAGATGGCTTCCTGTCCTAAGCTTCTAGGCTGCTGTCTGCTAGCCAGCTCGTTTGCCCATCCACCCTTAAGGGCAGAGTCCTCCGTGGGCCTGGGCCCCCATGTGCCTGCGTCTCAGTGCAGGTGCCACCCAGACTGCAGGGGAACAGAGATCACTGGGACCGTCTCGGGTGCGGGCAGATGCCCACCTGTCCCTGCTGTCCCACCACCACCACCTCTTGCCCGCTGCTCCACAAGGAGGGGCAGGCCCTGCGGTCCACTGGCCTGGGCACACGGCTCTGAGCCTCCCGCTGCCTGGTTACTAATCCTTTCCTGGCTCAACCTCCCTGAGTGCCACCCCCCACCTGCCCAACAGTGTCAGAGGGGTTTCCGGCTGCTCTGCACACAGTTGGTACTGGAGGAAAGAAAGCTGCCTTGTAAACACAGGCCAGGACACCATGGAAATGGGGACCAGCTGCTCTCAGAGGGTGTGACAGGCAGATTTATGGAGGGCTAGGCTGGTAGTCCTCCTGCCCCCGAAACCCCCCCAGGTGGGGTTATTGTTGATCATCAGGCTTCTTCCTGGGGGATGATGTTCAAAATTTCTATCACCTGGTAAGATGTGGGCAGATCACTCAGAATAGAGAATGGTCTCAGTGCTAGACCCAGAGGCCTCAGAGCGGGGGCTGGGTGGTGAGGGCAGTCAGGGACACTTCAGGGACCAGCGTGGTGCTGTTTGCTAACCAGCGGTACCTCCCGCTCAGATGGCATCGGCTGGCCTTTTCCCGGCATTTCTGCTTGGTCCCCTTGCTGCCACCTCTCAGGGAGCTCTCTGCCACCCCCTTGTGTGCAGCCACTAGCCTTGCATCCTCTCAGATCAGGGGTTCGTCCCAGACGACTAGGAGGTCCAGTGCTCTCCCAGCCAGCCCTTCCTCTGCCCTGAAGCTCAGGAAGGTCCCAGGGTCCAGACCACCGCCCACCCCACTGCTGGGCCCTCAGTCACTCCTGGCTCTCTCCTGGGCTCCTGTGGTTCCCAGACTGTACTAAAGGCGAGAAGATTCTTGCCGGAGGAAAGAATGTAAATGCATTCAAAGGACAGGATGCCCAGTGATGCTAGGGAAAATGCATCCTGACCCCAGAGTGGCAGTGTAACTCCTGTCACTAACTTGAGATATGGATCTGGGTGAGCCATTTGTCCTCGCTGAGGCTCAATCTCCCATCTGTGAAATGAGAAGATTGGACTGGGTGTGTCAGGCATGCAAAACACTTTGTATATCACAGTACTGTGAGGAGAGACTATTTCCTCCCATGCGTAGGGGGAAACTGAGGCTCAGAGAGGGGAAGTGACTTGCTCAGGATTGCACAGCCAGGAAGGGGCAGAGCAGGGCTGTGTTCATCTGTTCCCAATGCCCACTCCCCCATACTCGAATAGAGGACATAAAGCACTCGGTGTCTGAGCCTGGCTGGTAAGCGAAGAGAGAGCTCAAATGGGCTGGGGTTGTCAGGGAGGGCTTCATGGAGGAGGCTGTCTTGAAAATGACAGAAGCTGAGAGAGAGGTCATTCCAGGTGGGAGGTACAATGTAACCAAAGATACAGAGGCCAGAATGGTCCAACCATGAGGATGAGCCACGGGAATGGTGAGAAGTAGTGGGGGTTGATCAAAGAGGGGGGTAAGGTAGCTTGAAAGTGATGCTCAGTGTAGCCACAGCCAACTCTTGGGCAGAAGAGCAGTGACAGCAAGAGCAGTGGGTCCTAGGAGGAAGAGTCAGTCCGGCCATCTGATGGGGACGGGATGCCTCAGAGCTCCCCCTCTCCTCCTGGAGGAAGAGCCCCCTGGAAAAGCCCTCATTTATTCCAGGAGAACACAAGCCCTGCCGCTTCACTTTCCGTCCTCACTCACTGAGGCAGATAATCCAAAGAGTCACATCAGCTGCTTGCAACAGCGGGGTTGGATCTGTGCTACCTGATTCTTAATTCAGCTGCATTCGATGGATGCTCGCCCCATTTCTGCCTGGCCTCGCTGCGAGCGGCCGGGCATGACCCGAGTTGAGTAGGTATGGGTGGCTGTGGTGGCATAGGAAGGTGGGCCGGTGATCACGGCGGAGTCCTGCGGGGCACAGAGCGGAGTGCAGGGGTGAGAAGGACCTAGGGCTTGGGTGGGTGGCTTGCACACTTCTCGGGAAGCTCCTCTCTGCTCTGGGAGGCCTGGCCCTGCTGAGATGAGCCAGACACACTGGAAGGGTCTGTCTGGGGTCCTGCTGCTTTCAGTAGTGTGTTATGCTGGGGCAACCCAGAGGGAGGTTAGGGAGCTGCACTATACATGCCTAGACCACTTGCTGGCCTTGACCCAGCCTCCTGTGAAATGGCTCCTGCCATAATACTTAGCGTGAAGAGTGGCCTTGGAGCTGGCCAGTGACTTGGCCTCTGCTGTGTGACACAGGAAGGCTCAGGGATGCTGCTGTGAGAGTCTTGCCTCAGGAGTTTGACGCCACAGACATTGCCCTAATGCTGCTCCATACGCCAGGCCCCCCCCATGTGGGGCTCTTACCGGTGTTACCAACCCCTACTAGTGAGGAAACAGATTCCCACGGGTGATTTCCAGAGCATTCCAACCAAGCCATCTGCCTTTAGTGTTCTCTCCTTCCCACCTCGCGGGTGG